AGAACCGGGAAAGTTCACAACGGGCCACCCCAATTAAGGCCCTTCATGTTCCAAGATGAATGTACCACTGGCCAGCTCCCTGCCCGGAACCTGATGTCCTCTCCCTGCTCGACAGATCCGTCATCTCTGGGGCTTTCAAGAAAGCAAAGCCAGTTCCAATTATGCCTAATGCTCCAGACCGCGAGAGGCTCGCATTGGCCTCAGCAGCCACCGGCGGCTCACTTGGTCACCAGCCGGAGCTCCCGCAGGTCTCGCCAGGCTGCCCAGAGCTGGGGGGGTTTCTTGGTAGCGGAGATGCCCCCTGGCATGTCCCTCTTCTGTGGAGCCTCCTCTGCCGCAGATGCTCCTGCAAAAGCGGAGCAGGTCTTGCTTGGAGCAAAGGAGCAAATAGTCCCTCTTGGCACTCACAACTGTCACCCACCCCACCACACCGCCACTCTACAGCATAGAGGAGGAAGCTGGGGTGCTGTGTCAAGAACCCTGAGAGCAGCAAGCAAAATGTTTAGATCCCCAACCCATAAAATAAATGAAACTCCTGAGAAATGAAATGTGGAGGTGGAATTCCCCTCCCCCAGCTGGTGTGGATGGGCTTGGGAGGGGGGGCAGGTAGGGGGTGGAATTTCCTCCTGGGCTTCCTGCATTAGGATACTGTGCCAATTTGAAAGCAGCAACAGCTCATCAACTTCAGCCAAGAACTCAGGAGAGGGGATGTTGGCTCACCTGCAGTGTATTTAAAACAGCTGCAAAACTATAGTTTCTTCCCCCTCCCACTCCTCCTCCTCCTCCTCCCCCCCTCTTCCTCTTCTTCCTCACCCCTCCCCCTCTTCCTTCTCCTCCTCACCTTGGTCTGCTGGCTTTTCTGAAGGGCTGGAGGTCCTTTTGAATGGTTCTGGTTGTCTTAAGTTGCCAAAAAAGAGCTTTTGATCCTACTTCTCAGTGCACAAAAACCTGCGGAATTGGCGTGCGGATGCGTGATGTGAAGTGTTATCAAGGGAAGGATCTTGTTCGCGGGTGTGACACACTCCTGAAACCAGTTGCGAAGCAGACCTGTGACCTCCATCCTTGTCCAACAGAGCCACCAGGTTAGCTGGGATACCTGGCAGATGGGGTGGGTGGGATAACTTAAGGGCCCCGAGTGAGCCATGCCCGGCAGTGTTGGAGCTCCAGCACTAGGAGGCCCCGTTTCTGTCTCTGCCTTGGTCCTCTGGTCACACCACAACCTTCCGGATGAACTTTCCAGAAGAGGACTGCCCCTCCAAGAAGGATTTCCTGGCAGTGTGCGGTGGAGGGAGGTTTCGGGGGGACTGTGCCACATCACCCCGAGGGGGCAGCAGCTGAAAGGAAGCAGACTCAGCTGGGAGCCAAAAGAGCCAAATGTCCACCTCAGCCGGTGGAGGAAGCGGGAACGCCCAGCTCCTCCATGGAACTTGGAATTCTTTGGGCAACTTCGATAAGAGGGTGGCCTGTGAGCTTTTCTTTTTCAGGAAGAAAGCACCTCTTCCCCTCAAGGAATGTTTTAATGAAAATATTTTATTTGCGCCATTTGGTCAGACCCAGCGTGGGTGCAGGTCAAAGGTTCAGGAAAGCCCCCCCGTTCGTTGCCCCGCCCCACCCGCAAAGGCCACGTTCAAAAGAGAACAGTGGGGCTGGTTCTGTGCTGGTGACCCAGAGCTGGAAGTGGGGGGGGGACCCCACCTCCCTTGCTGAGGCATCATTGCTGCTGGTGGTGGTGCTGCACTTGGGCAGAGAAGGTGGAGGCTGGCCCTGGGGCCCAATGCAGCTCTCCCTCTTGCCTCAGATGGCCCCCCCTGACCTTGTGGCCCTCCCACAGACGACAGCTGCCAGGACCAGGCGGGAACCAACTGTGCCCTGGCGATTAAGGTGAACCTCTGCGGCCACTGGTACTACAGCAAGGCCTGCTGCCGATCCTGCCGAGTGCCCCGTTCCTAGAGGGGAGCCACGGCCTCCGTGTCCGAGAAGAAGCAACCAGAGCTTAGCGCCATCCGGCATCCCCTTCTCACCTCTCTTTTCTTCCAGCCATGATGGGAACTCCACTTGACCACCAACATCGCCTGCAGAATTCTGGATTTTTCTTTTAATTCACTTTGCAAACTTTTGATCTACCTATACGTGACTCTCTACCTGCAAGTGATTTTGTGCGTGTCTGTCTAGCTGCTCCTTCCCGTCTGCCTCCTCTGCATCCATTGACAGCTTTGCCAGACTGGCTTGGCTTTCCTTGAAATGGTACGATGCCTTTTGCAGGACTGGGGCCTAGTCAGAATGCCCCCCCCTCCCCCAGCTCCCTTGGCTCTTCCCTTCCACCTCTCTGCCTTAAGAGTCTGTCTCATGGTTCCCTCGAGGCAGGGGTGGGGCTTTAAGTGAGAAACACCCCAAATAAAAGAGATGCTGAACCCTTCTCTCCAGTCCTGCAGTTAATAATTGCCCCGTGTACTGTAATGAAGGATATTTCAGGAGGACTCACATCCATTTTGGTGGGAATTGGTGGGAATGACGTTTGCATCAGCTTTAGATAACGAAAATGGCAATAAAGTCACTAAAGGCAGAAGAACCCTGCCCATTTCAGGTGTAGGCACTTTGTCTTTATTCACACTCGGTAGTAAATATAAGTTAACAAAGGGCAGATAGTAAAGTCCACTAAATATAAGGTGTAAGTGCACATCTGGCAAAAATATTTTATCTCGTAATCAAACCCTTAAATACATAATGCCAGCATATTGTATAGGATAAGGAAAACATAGCTGCACTTTATAACTCAAAAGGGCCTTGGATTCTTTTTTAATGTATTTGTTTACAAAACAATAAACTTTATTCCTTTTACTGTTGAATGGCACTTGAAGGTGTACTTTAAATAAGGTTTCTGATATTTATGGTGACAGCTCTGTACACTTTTTATTTGTTTTGGCAAATGGAAACTATTCTACCATCTCTGATTGTATTAGACAGCAGAGTATCAGCAGTAGAGTCCTTCAAGCTTTTGGTTTTATAATCTCCCAGGACTTGAAATGGACACCTAACATTAGAACCATCATTAAAAAGACACCACAAAGAATGTTCCTCCTGCGTCAACTCAGGAAGTTCAGGCTGCCCCAGGAGCTGCTGATCCAGTTCTACAGAGGAATGGTTGTGTCTCACTTGTGCTTCTAAAACTGTCTGGTTTTATACAGCAATCATAACAGGTCAGGGAAAGACTCCACAGAGGAAGGCAGGAAAAAAAATTGCAGGCTGTCTCCTGCAATTTGGGATTCAAATTTTTTTGCTACCAGTTCTGTAGGCGTGGCTTGGTGGGCATGGCAGGGGAAGGATACTGCAAAATCCCCCTTCCCTCCCCACCCCACTAACCTGCTTTCCAGCTCTGTTCTCCTGTGCAGGGCAACCAAAGAAGACCCAGCCAATCAGCTGGGACTCAATGGGAGGCAGAGAAGAGGTGGGGTTGGCGGGGCCAGTCAGAGGTGGGATTGGCCAGTTCTCCAACTACTCAAAATTTCCACTACTGGGGCTCCAGAACTGGTCAGAACCGGCTGAATACCACCCCTGCTGCCTCCCATAGAATCCTGGTGTCAGGAAGGGGGCTGAGAAAATATCGACAGACCCCTCACATTCTGAACATAAACCGCCTTGGGATGGCGCTATAGGGTGTTTCATGCCAAAACAACTAGACACAAGGACAGTTTTTTCCCCTCATGATATCACTCTGCTGAACACCTAATTCTCAGTGCTGTCTAATGTCTATGTCTATTTACCCATGTAGTAGGGCTGTATTTTTTTATTATTACTCTTCATCGCACAGTCAGCCATCTGGGCTGGGTTTGGCATTTTTGTCTACCTATTGAGTCCTTACCCCTTGAGGTAGGCAAATCTGGGTGTTTGATGGTGTTGCAGAGATCACCACAGGATGGAAGCTGTTCCAAGTCAAGCTGCCTTCTGCAATTGACTGATGGCAAATTTGTCAATGCCTGTAGTGTTCAAGTGCTGCTCCAGTTGTTTTGGGACTGCACCCAAGGCACCTATTACTATTGGCACCACCCTTGCTTGCCTTTGCCATAGTCATTCTATTTCTATTTGTAAGTCTTTGTACTTCGTTATCTCCTCCACTTCTTTCTCTTCTCTTCTGCTGTCTCCAGGCACTGCCATGTCCACTATCCAGACTTTTTTGTCTTTCTTATTGACAACTGTTAAGTCTGGAGTGTTATGTGGAAGGTGCCTGTCTGTCTGGATTCTGAAGTCCCAGAGCAATTTAACTTTTTCATTTTCTATGACTTCTTCTATGTATTTTATGGTCCCACCAGTTCTTGCTTACAGGCAACTGATGTTTCTTGCAGATCTTCCAATGCACCATTGTTGCTACTTTGTCATGCTGCTGCTTGTAGTCAGCCTGTGCAATTTTCTTGCAGCAGCTTACCAGGTTTCTTCAGCTTCTTTGCATAGGTGGCACTTACTGTCTGTCTTCTTCTTCTTCTTCTTCTTCTTCTTCTTCTTCTTCTTCTTCTTC